GGACAGACCTGAAATCCCTGGCTAGTCTCCTCTGCACAATCTGCAGGATCAGGTATTGCATGGTTTTCCTGAGCAGAATGAGGTCCCAGCTGCAAATTTTCCTCGCATATATGTTGCATTGCGCTGGAATCAAAAGGGAGGATATGCTCAGTGCCGATCTCATAGTCATGGTGGGCACTGTAAAAATGATAGAATTCAAGAAATTCTAACCTATAATGGAGCTGTGTCCTGTGTCTGTTCAACACTGAAACATTTCCAGGCTAATTTGTGTCAATATGGTTCTTTAGATAACAGAGTTCCATGTTTGCAGTTCAGTAAAGAAGCCTAGTTCTCAGACAATCAGGTTCACGTTATGTAGGCCACAACTTATTGTTTCAGTTCAGAAGAATATCTGAGGCAGGGTAGGATCATATTCTGTAATTCTGCCCTATAAACTGTGGGAGCTCACAGGCATTCCAGTGCTCCTTCCCAGTTTTGTATTATTTAGAATCCTATTGTATAACATAGGGAGAACATGACCTCAGAGTCACATAAGCGGACCCACGAGAAGGCACCTTCTTCATCTCAACTATTCATCAGTACTTGCATGCACATCCTTGGATGTATAGGAGACACCAAGGAACATGGGAAATTTTACAATGTAGTTCATCTCTCACAGACTCACATGCCAGCAGCACAAATTGTTGGATTTTTAAAAAATTTTTATTTAAATTAGAAATATGAATGTTTCCCATGTCAGTCCCAGCTCCCTCTCCCACCCTTCCTCCCTTGTCAATCCGCCAACCCCCCAAGCCCCAACCCATCCCCAAGGCCCTCCTTGGGGAGATCTCCCAGGTCTGTCACTTCATCCAGGGCAGGACCTAGGCCCTTCTCCATGTGTCCTGGCTGAGAGAGCACCCCTCTATTTAGAATGGCCTCCCAAAGATCATTCATAAACCATGGTAAACACTGATATACTACCCAAGGCCCCAGTAATTTCTGTGGCCTCCTCACTGAGACTACATTCAGGAAGTCTGGATGAGTCCTTTGTTGGCCTCTCAGGCATCAGTCTGGGACTCTCAGGCATCAGTCTGGGATTCAAGAGCTCCCCCTTATCCGGTCAGCTGTATTTTCAGGTTTCACCATGATGGTCTTGACCCCTTTGCTCAACACTCCTCCATCTCTGTCATTAGGTCCCAGGAGTGCAGTTCAATGTTTAGCTGTGGGTATCTTGTCACTGCCTCTATAGGTCACCAGAAGAAGATTCTAGGATGGCATATAAGGTAGTCATCAACCTTCCCATCAAGGAGGGGCAATTAATGTAGTCTCCATTATTGCTTAGTTTACCAATTGGTGCTGTCCTTGTAGATATCTGGAGATCTCACTAGTGTCAGCTCTCTCCTCAAGCCTATAATGACACAATCTCTCACCCTTCTCTCCTTTATTCTTACCTCAACTGAAGCTTCCTGCTCTCCCATACCTTCTTCTCATGTTTTCTTACCCCCATCTCTTTTTCCTGGCTCCCTCTCCCCTCCCCTGTTGTTCACAATCTGCTCAGGAGATCTTGCCTCATTCCAATTCTCTGGGGTATTGTTATTTCTCTTGGGAACCTCCCTGTTTCTCAGACTCATTGGCACTGTGATTGTAGTTTGACACTACTCTGATCCATGTCGAAAATCCGTATATGAGTGAGTACATACCATGTTTGTCTTTTTGTGTCTGGGTTACCTCACTCAGAATGGTTTCCTCTAGTGCCATCCATTTGCCTGCAAATTTCAAGATTCCATTGTTTTTTTCCACTGATCAGTACTCCTCCATTGTGTAAATGTTTCACATTTTCTCTATCCACTCTTCAGTTGTGGGACATCTAGGTTGCTTCCAAGATCTAGCTATTATAAATAATGCTGCAATGAACACAGTGGAATAGACATCCTTGTTGTGTGAATGGGTGTCTTTTGGGTATATGTCTATGACTGGAATTTCTGGGTCTTGTGGTAGACTGACTCCCAATTTCCTGAGGAATCTCCACACTGATTTCCAATATGGCTGTATGAGTTGGCATCCATTGAGTGTGATATTGGCTGTTGGTTTGCTTTATATAGCTTTTATGATGTTTAGGTATGTTCATGTTTTCCTGGAACTCTCCAAAACATTTATCATGAAGGGGTGCTGGATTTTATCAAAGGCTTTTTCAGCATCTAATGAGATGATCATGTGTTGTTTCTCATATGGTTTACATGGTGGATTACATTGATGGATTTTCATATGTTGAACCATCCTTTAATCCCTAGAATGAAGCCTACTTGATCATGGTGGATGAGTTTTCTGATGTGTTCTTGGATTCAATTTGCCAGTATTCTATTGAGTATTTTTGCATCAATGTTCATTAGGGATATTGGTCTGAAGTTCTATTTCTTAGTTGTGTCTTTGTGTGGCTTGGGTATCAATGTTATTGAAGCCTCATAAAAAGAGTTTGTCAAAGACCCTTCTGCATGGAATACTTTGAGTAGAATTGGTATAAGCTGTTCTTTGAATTTCTGGTAAAATTCTGCGCTGAAGCCATCTGAGCCTGGGCCTTTTTTGGTTGGGAGGCTTTTGATGATTGCTTCTATTTCCTTAAGTGTAATAGGAATATTTAAATTGCTTATCTGTTCTTGATTTAATTTTGGTGTATGATATTTATCCAGAAAATTGTCCATTTCCTTTAAGTTTTCAAATTTTGTGGAGTACAGCTTTTCAAAATATGAGCTGATGATTCTTCCTCATTGTCTGTTGTTATGTCTCCCTTTTCATTTCGATTTTGTTAATTTGCATGTTCACATTCTGCCGCTTGGTAAGTTTGAACAAAGGTTTGTCTATCTTGTTGATTTCCCAAAGAACCAAATCTTCATTACATTGATTCTTTGTGTCGTTTTCCTCATTTCTATTTTATTGATTTCAGCCCTCAAATTAATTATTTCTTGGCGCCTGCTCAACTGGGGTGAGTTTGCTTCCTTTTGTTCTAGAGCATTCAGTTGTGCTCTTAATTCTCTAGTGTGACTATTCTCCAGTTTTTCATGTGGACAATTAGTGATATGAACTTTCCTCTTAGCACTGATTTCAAAATGTCCCATAAGTTTGGGTATGTTGTGTCTTCAGTTTCATTGAATTCTAGGAATTCTTTTATTTCTTTTTTATTTCTTCTTTGACCCAGGAAGGTGCAATTGGGTATTATTCAATTTCCATGAGTTATTGTTGAATTCTAAATTCAAGGCATGATGGTCTGATAAGATACATGGAGTTATTCCAATTTTTTGTACCTGTTGAGGTTTGCTATGTTGCCATGTATGTGTTCAATTTTTAAGAAGGTTTCCTGTGGAGCTGAGAAGAAGGTAAATTCTTTTGTGTTTGGATGGAGTTAAATATAAAGAAATATACACACATATAAAATATTAATTAAAGATGAAGCAGCTATGAACTTGAGAAGGAGAAAGGGATGGATATGAAAGGCATTTGAGTGGGGATATTAATGTGTACAATTACATAGAAAATATCAAAACCCTTTTAACTAAAATATTTTAATTTTAATGTTTAAAACAATCTTTTTATATAACAATCCCAGTTAAATTCAACAAGGAAATCTCCTTTCACACTGAAGCTCAGGGTGAATGTTCTGAGTTCAGTGTTGAAAAATAAATGGAAAATCTGGGAACACAGCACTGGACTCCTAAGCCAGAGATACATGGTCAGGGATGGGCTATTTATTATGAGCATAGGGAGCTCTTGTCTGCATTTCCTGCTGCAGAATGAATTCAGTGGTGGAAGCATTAGCCATGAATGTCTCAATCAGATGAAGGAGGCAATCGGGAAATACTTAAGGAATTATCTATTATTTGTTACATATCTGTGACAAAATCCATAGTAATATTTTATTTTGTTTTTGACAACAGACACCCCTCTGCCTTATTTGTGTCACAGCTCCATTATAATAAAGTTTTGATGATTTTAAAAGGAATAGAAATGATTTATGAATATTGAATCCTCATATTAAATGAAGGAATTGTTTTCAAGGAGATAGCATAGTGCTGATTCATAAAAATCAACTGATGTGTGATACTCACTTTTGAAAAATAAAAAAATATTTAATTCCTATATATTATATTTCTGTAAATATCTTTTGAAATTTTTGAACTTGTTTGTTATTTTTCTTGTCTGGATTGGACTGTGTTTCATACAGCACTCTGTACATTAGGTCAGTATTCCTGATTATTCCCAAAGTAATAAAGGAACATGACTCTAGAACCCTGCTAAGATATCTTCCATCTCTCCAGTCCTGCTCCCACCATACAGATTGGCGATGACTCTCAGCATGAACAGCCTTGAAATTGCATCTGCATGAGACAAATATGCTATCCTCTAGTTTTCCAATTGCGTAATTCATTCTACTACAGGGAAACAGTCCACATTGTGACTATAAGGGCCTTTGCATTATGACATTTGTATTTCTGTAGCATTCCCATGAAAGTCAGAGATTCTAGGAAATAATTGAAATTATCATTGTCATATCTGGTGTCCTTCAAGGCATGGGATATAGCTTACAAAGGAGACAATTTCCTGGTCACTGGATGTGGTAAAACAAAAGGAAAAACCTCTGGGTAGAGTCAGGAAACACACTAGTTGGCCCCCTCTGTGCACCTGATCCACAGACTTGTCATGAGTGATTTACTTTGCATCCTTTTTCCTCTCTCCAAACAATGGTATTGACCAGATGAACATGATGCTATTAAGTAGCAAGTGACACATTGATAGAATCTCCTCAAAGAGCACCATGGAGGATGGCAGGAATGCCTGTAAGAGTCAGCATACACAGAAATTTGTTCTGTAATGCTGAATTTTGATTATGACAGGGATATCTCAACCATGAACGCTTAGATTCTGTGGCTATCTGCAAGTAACAAAGGCACAAGTAACTTCTGCACCTGTTCTTGCAATCTGCTTGTTTTCCAAGTGCTCTCTGCACCCCCTGCTGGTTCAGTGCGCTTCTGCAGGAAGGTTTGTGTCAGGGTTCACAATGAAGTCCTCTCACTGTGTCTCTAATACAGTAATAAATGGCGGTGTCATCTGCTCTTAAGTTGTTCATCTGCAGGTACACGCTGCTTTTGGAGTCGTCTCTTGAGATGGTGAATCTGCCTTTCACAGAATCCCCATATTCTGTTCCATAATTATGAAGTTTGTTTTTAGCTACACCAACCCACTCCAGCCCTTTTCCTGGTGCCTGGCGGAACCAGTTTATCCAGTAGTCACTTAAGGTGAATCCCGAGGCTTCACAGGAGAGTTTCAAGGACTTTCCAGGATGCATCAAGCCTCCCCCAGACTCCACCAACTGTGCCTCACATTGGATGCCTGCAAACAGAGAATCCTGTCAGTAACCTATTACAAATTCCACTATTTCTCTCACTCATAACCCCTCACACACTAAGAATCTGTTTTTATGAATAAATTACCTTGTAAAAGAGCAACAAGGAAAACCCAGCTCAGTCTCAACTCCATGCTGAATGTTGTGATGTCCACAGAATGGGAAGGCCTGTGAGTCGAGTGCTGGGTGACTCTGTCAGAGCTGTAGGGTTGGGGCTTCTTTTCATGGACAGAGGATGATATAATTTGCATAACTTCCTGCAATATCTTGAGCTGACATAAGCGAGCCTCAGATGACACAAGTAATCATGCAGATGTCTGAAATATGGGCAAAGATGGCATTTATAACAACTAGTGTCACTGATTGTCCTGTGGTCATGACTCTGTTGACAGTAAGTATACTTTCAAGGTTGAAGCTCTGTGTTCCACTCCACCAATGCATGGATAAAGAAGTTACAGAAACAGGAGAATTTTATGTATGGGATATGCTTGGCATACATGACACTGTGTCTAAAAAAAGAAAGGTATCAGACAAGAATTTAATCAAAGTCTTACAGCCACTTTGCAAGTGCTTTCCCAGTACATCAGATTCCCAGTCCTTTTCAATTCAGAGGCCTGAAACAGAAGATTCCCATGCCTGCTGGTCAACCCCTACTTTCCAGTTGGAGGAAGACAGGAGGATATTTTATAAAATCACTAGTATTTCAAACACTATTTTAAACTCAATATAGTTTTGTGTAGTCTTTAACACAGAACTGGTCTAGGGGATTCATGCTTACCACCATGAATTCCTCACAAGTTTGCATACATGGGGAGGGAACTTCTGCTAGAAAAACATGCAAATTAAATGTTCTGAATAAAAAGACAGTATTTATTCAAAACCAAATACTCTATAGAATAAACATGAACTTTGTGGGGTGATGCCATGTCAGTGAAGTTCCTTGTTCTGTAAAGGCTGGAGACTGTTGGGCAAGATACTGGGATTGGGAGGGAAGGACTTATGGGAGCCATAGATCACTGTATGATCTCAGAAGCTGTATCAATTAGCATGCACTTACTTTGAATCACTACATGAGTTCTGGGAAAAATGGTTTAATAACACATTTAACCACTTATTTTATCATTTTTTATTTTAATTTTAAATAGCTTGTTTTACATGTCAATCCCAGTTCCCTCTCCCGCCCCTCCTCTCGCACTCCCCTTCCCCCCCTTCCCTCCCACACTATTGCCAAATCCTTCCACATAGGGGATATCTAGAGTCTGTCATTTTACTCTTGGTAGGGTCAAGGCACTCCCCTAAGAGTCCAGGCTGAGAGAGCATCTCTCTTTGTGCTATAGGCACATGAAGACAGTTTGTATACCAGGGATAGACACTGATCCACAGCTCAGGGCCCCATAGGTTGCCCAGGCCTTCTCACTGGCACTCACATTTGGGGGGGTCCAGATCAGTCCCATGCTGGCCTCCCCACTGTCGTTCTGGGGTCCAGGAGCAATCCCCTGTTCAGATCAGCTGTCTCTGCTGGTTTTGCCAGCCCATTCTTTGCCAATTTGCTCATCACTCCTCTCTCTCTGTCACTGGGTTCCTTGGGTTCAGTTCAGTGATTAATTGTGTGTTTGCCTCTGCTTCCATCAGTCACAGGATGAAGGCTTCCGGATGGTTATAGACATCAAGTTCATTATCAGGAATGAGCATTCGAGGTGGTCCCTCCACTATTGCTTAGCTTGCCAATTGGTTTTATGCCTTTAGATCACTTGAGGTCACTCTGGTGCCTGATCTGTATTCGATCCTATGAATCCCTCTTCCCCCTATTCTACCCCCACCCCCTCAACTTCCTGTTCCCCCATGACCAACTCCCTTCCTCTTTACCCCCTCTATTCTTCCCAGGTCCCACTCCCCCCCACCCCTCGCCGTGTTCCCCATCCATTCAGAGGATCTTGTCTCCATCCTCTTCTCTTGGGTACTATGCATATATGCATATCTTTTAGGTTCTTTCCTGTATCCCAGACTCTCTATCTGTGGAAGTGCAGACTGGCACTATCCTGATCCATATCTAAAATCCATATATGAGTGAGTACATACCATGTTTGTCTTTTTGCGACTGGGTTACCTCACTCAGGATGGTTTCTTCCAGTGCTATCCATTTCCCTGCGAATTTCAAGATTCCATTGTTTTTTTCTGCTGAGTAATACTCCATTGTGTAAATGTACCACATTTTCTCTATCCACTCTTCAGCTGAGGGGCATCTAGGTTGCTTCCAGGTTCTGGCTATTACAAACAATGCTGCTATGAACATAGTGGAGCAGATGCCCTTGTTGTATGAACCTGCCTCATTTGGATAAATGCCTAAGAGTGGAATTGCTGGGTCTAGTGGTAGATTAATTCCCATTTTCCTGAGGAATCTCCATACTGATTTCCAAAGAGGCTGTATGAGTCGGCATTCCCACCAGCAGTGGAGGAGTGTTCCTCTCTCTCCACATCCTCTCCAGCATAAATTGTCTTCGGTGTTTTTGATTCTAGCCATTCTGACAGGAGTAAGATGGTATCTCAGAGTTGTTTTGATTTGCATTTCCCTGATGGCTAAGGATGTTGAGCACTTTCTTAAGTGTCTCTTGCCCATTTTAGCCTCCTCTACTGAGAATTCTCTATTTAGCTATGTACCCCACCTTTCAAGTGGCTCCTTTGGTGTTTTGGAGACTTGTTTCTTGTGTTCTTTGTAAATTTTGGAGATTAGCCCTCTGTCAGATGTAGGGTTAGTGAATATCTTTTCCCATTCTGTGGCCTGCCTTTTTGTCTTTTTGACTGTGTCCTTTGCCTTACAGAAGCTTTTTAGTTTCAGAAGGTCCCATTTGTTAATTGTCGATCTCAGTGACTGTGCCACTGGTGTTATGTTTAGGAAATGGTCTCCTGTACCAACTCGTTGAAGAGTATCTCCCACTTTCTCTTCTACAAGTTTCAGTGTGGCTGGATGTATGTTGAGATCTTTGATCCATTTGGACTTAAGTTTTGTACAAGGTGATAAACATGGATCTATCTGCAGTCTTCTGCATACCAGTACCCAGTTATGCCAGCACCATTTGTTGAAGATGCTTTCTTTTTTCCACTGTACAGTTTTAGCTTCTTTGTCAAAAATCAGGTGTTCATAGGTGTGTGGGTTAAAACGAAGGCTTTCGATTCGGTTCCATTGGTCTACCTGCCTATTTTTGTGCCAATACCAAGCTGTTTTCAGGACTATAGCTCTATAATAGAGCTTGAAGTCAGGTATGGTGATGCCTCCTGAAGTTCCTTTATTGTATAGGGATGTTTTGGCTATCCTGGGCCTTTTGTTTTTCCATATAAAGTTGATTAATGTTCTTCCCAGGTCCTTGAAGAAATGTGATGGAATTTTGATAGGGATTGCATTGAATCTATAGACTGCTTTTGGTAAGATTGCCATTTTTATTATGTTGATCCTACCAATCCAAGAGCATGGGAGATCTTTCCATTTTCTGGTATCTTCTTTGATTTCTTTCTTCAAAGACACAAAGTTCTTGATATACAGGTCTTTCACTTCCTTGGTTAGCATTATCCCCAGATATTTGATGCTGTTTTTGGCTATTGTAAAAGGTGATGTTTCTCTGATTTCTTTCTCAGTCACTTCATCCTCTGTGTATAATAGGGCCACTGATTTTTTTGAGTTTACCTTGTGTCCTGCCACATTGCTGAAGGTGTTTGTCAGCTCTAGGAGAAACCTTGCGGAGTTTTTTGGGTCACTTATGTAAACTATCATATCATCTGCAAATAGTGAAAGTTTGACTTCTTCTTTTCCTATTTGTATCCCCTTTATCTCCTTTTGTTGTCTTATTGCTGTAGCTAGAACTTCAAGTACAATATTGAAGAGATATGGAGAGAGTGGACAGCCTTGTCTTGTTCCTGATTTTAGAGGAATTGCTTTGAGATTCTCTCCATTTAGTTTGATGTTAGCTGTTGGTTTACTGTATATTGCTTTTATTATATTCAGGTACGTTCCTGTTATCCCTGATCTCTCTAGGACCTTTATCATGAAGGGGTGCTGGATTTTGTCAAAGGCTTTTTCAGCATCTAGTGAGATGATCATGTGGTTTTTCTTTCGCAGATTGTTAATATGGTGGATTACATTGATAGATTTTCTAATGTTGAACCATCCCTGCATTCCTGGAATGAAGCCTACTTGATCATGGTGGATGATTTTTCTGATGTGTTCTTGAATCCGGTTTGCAAGTATTTTATTGAGTATTTTTGCATCAATGTTCATGAGGGAAATTGGTCTATAGTTCTCTTTCTTAGTTGTGTCTTTGTGTGGCTTGGGTATCAAGGTAATTGTAGCCTCGTAGAAAGAGTTTGGCAGTGAGCCTCCTGCTTCTATTGTGTGGAATACTTTGACGAGTATTGGAATGAGCTCTTCTTTGAATTTCTGGTAGAATTCTGCACTGAAGCCATCTGGGCCTGGGCTTTTTTTGTTTGGGAGACTTTTGATGACTGCTTCTATTTCATTAGGGGTTATAGGTCTGTTTAGATTATTTATCTGTTCTTGATTTAGTTTTGGCAAGTGATATCTATCCAGGAAATTGTCCATTTCCTTTAAATTTTCAAATTTTGTGGAGTACAGATTTTCAAAGTATGCCCTGATGATTCTCTTGATTTCTTCAGAGTCCATTGTTATGTCCCCTTTTTCATCCCTGATTTTGTTAATTAGCATGTCCTCTCTCTGTCTTTTGGTTAGTTTGGACAGAGGTTGGTCTATTTTATTGATTTTCTCAAAGAACCAACTCTTTGTTTCATTGATTCTTCTCAGTGTTTTCCTGGTTTCTACTTGATTGATTTCAGCCCTCAATTTGATTATTTCCTGGCATCTGCTCCTCCTGGGGGAGTTTGCTTCTTTTTGTTCTAGAACATTCAGCTGTGCTATTAATTCTCTAGTATGACTGTTCTCCAGTTTTTTTCATGTGGGCACTTAGTGCTATAAACTTTCCTCTCAGTACTGCTTTCAAAGTGTCCCATAAGTTTGTGTATGTTGTGTCTTCATTTTCATTGAAATCGAGGAAGTCTTTAATTTCTTTTTATATTTGTTCCTTTACCCAGGGATGGTGCAATTGTGCATTGTTCAATCTCCATGAGTTTGTAGGGTTTCTGCGATTTGTGTTATTGTTGAATTCTAATGTTAATGCATGGTGGTCTGATAAG